GACTGACAGAAATTTTTAATATATACACTACTCTAAATTCCATCTTTTATATAATTTTTTGTATTCTTTCATATTCGTATTCTATCTTTTTATATGATTTTTTTAATAAATTGGACTATCAAACACCCACCCACCAATATTTCAAAATCAAATCTGCCACAAAGGACTGGCTCAGAGTCAGTAAAGATGCTCTCACAATTGAGATTGGAGCCAGAGCATCACAAATACAGTTTTACCATCCAAATCTGCCCTGTGAGAGATTTTGTGAAATAAATTGGTATTTTCTTGTCTCTAAATACAAGAAAAGAATCTCAGCATAGAATCCACTGACACCCACGGACAAGATGAAGAATTTCAGATGCTACTCAAGACAAAGATACTGCCTAAAACTCCTGTTTCTGGGAGATCAGTTATACTGCAAAAGATTAATAACATATCAAAAGATAGGGAAGGGATTACCAAGGGTTGCGGGCTCCAGTCCTTTGAAAAGGAAGGAGAGCAGGGATGGAGCACCAGCCATGTCTCAGAGCATCTGCCAGGGAGAAAAGAGGGGCTAAGTCACCCCACTGGGACTGGATGAGACACATCCTTCCCCAGGACCATCCCACCACCCTTATGAGGAGGGGACCACAAAGGCCAAGGGGTGGAAGCAAAACCCTTGAGCAGAGTTAAGAACCTGCACATAGTTACAGCAGTAAGTTCTTATACCGCTGTGGGGGTATTCCAACCAAGAAAACTTCCAGGACACTTTTACCTAGACTGGGTTCTTCATGTATTTTAAAGGGACACTGACATGTTGCCCCTGGACATTTGGACTAAGATGTCCTGTCCCCCATTCACTACTGGGGAACACCTCAGGTCATGCTAAGCAACACAGCCAACATTCTTATTCCTCTGATTTCTCCTGGTGTTTTAATAGACAGCCATAGCCAGCAAGCTACTGGTAAGCCCAGAAAGATCTGGTTTCACCACCAAAGTCAGTCCTGGGCAAGGTCTCATTTCCCACTTTGCTGGAAAAGCGATTCTAGTGGAAAGCTCGTGGCCTAAGAACAGCAAGGGAACATCCAGAGCTTTGCAACACTTTCACTCCTGCTCCTTGACTCACTCTCTCAGTTCCTACCCTGAGAAGTACTGAAATATAACTTGCATCCAAATTCAGTTCCATGGAAGCATTCTCTTGCAGCTTGCAGTTCCCATAGGGAGACAGAAGCCAAGCACTAAAAAAGTCAAAGCCAACACGCAGGCATGGCAGCAGGGGAAAGAGTAAGAGGCAGGTACACTGACTTGGCAGTGCAGCAAGAAAAAAGTCTCAACAGACCTGGAAGAGGAGCAAAACATGGCCAAAAGGCAGAAATAAATTTGAAAAAAAAAAATTCAGTGCTCACAGAATGTTTACCCTCATTTCTGGCAACTGGGAGGCAGTGTTATGAACCATATGCACTACAGAGTGAGAGACTATATCAATACTATCTCTATATCAATACTGACATATTTATATTAAGATTTGCCAACTACATTTCTCAAAAAAAACATAGGAAGAGCTCTTTGCCCTTGACCTGTCACTCTAGTGGGATCAAGTACACCTGGCCTATGCATAACCAAGAGCCCAAGAGTGTTTCAATGACTTACATGACACCTTGCAGGACTTTTTGGGGATCGAGATCAAACAATCTATCGACATAGTGGCGGCTACTGGCTGTGACCTCCTGCAGAGAGAGAGCAAACAATTGCAATCGTTTATATCAATCCATACAATGGCTTATGTAGCAGCAAGTGTACAAAACTTCCCAGGCAAGAGGTAGGGAACCTGCAGAATTATATTTAAACGTGCAGTGTATTACTGTTGGGCAACATGACACAAACACAACCCTGTGTTCAAATGTAACCTAGAGAAGATGAGGTGCTTAATGTAGATAACAACATGGTAAGTGCCAAAGCAAGTTAACAGAGAACTATTTATGAACTACAGTAATTAGCACTACCTTGAATCACAATTTTATTATGTTTAATTACTATATAGAATAAAAATTAATTCCTGGAATAAAAAGTTTCAAAGAGCAGTTAATGCTGCTCAAGACCCACAAATAAGCTCTCCAAAAGAAGGAAGCTCATAACAAGACATTTTTCTGTAACTTACTTTGTCACAACATACCTACATTTCAGATCCTGTGCCACAGACCTTCAATGAGACAGCAGCACAGTACTCCCCACAACATTCTCATAGTGCTGTACAAGACAAAGAGAATTCCCTTCTCGGCAACAGGACCATGCTTGTAAGCTCCACACTTATGCACCACTGATTAGTTATTCCTTTTGAGAAGATCCAAAGTCGGAGATGGCAAGCATTCCAAAATACAAGGGTGGGAAAGGGGAAGGGAATTTTCCCTACAGGTTCTCAAGAACACTTGCCAGGATGTGTTGCCATTATCTCACTTTTCTTTTTTTTTTTTTTCTTTTTGCCAGCTCTCTTTTCATTAAGCTTTGCCCATTTTTTCCTTATGAGTTTTCCTTGAGAAAAACTCTAAGAGTTGAAAACTCTTCTTTGCTTTAGCAAGTATCTGCCATGGGGCTGAATCTACTCCTGCTTCCCCACCCCGATGTCAAGAGACACCAGCAGCTTCTTGCCTGTGGTCTCACATCACAGAGAAGAATCATCTAGAGGCAGCAGGACTCCTTTGTCTCCAGGAACACTATTAAATTATGCCACGTAAGTTCTACAGATACACTTCCACCATGTAACCAAAGACAGTATTTTTGAGAATAGCAATACACTTCTAGCTATCTGACCTACGTATTTACATGTAAAACTCTTCTAGACTTCAGAGAACCCGTAGCTTTCTGTTTCTAAAATATGCTGGCTTCCACCCCATCAGCTACGAAGTCTGCAACATGTAGAAGTGTATTCATGTGCAAGGCAGTTCCCCCCACCCAAAAAAAAAAAAAAAAAAAAAAAAAAGAATTTACCAGCTCTCTTAACCAACACGAGTTTTTCAGGAAACAGAAGGGAAGGCGCCAACCCTCTGCTCCTGCGGCAGCGCCCGGGCTGCACCTTTTGCATCGCTACTCCCAGCCCCGTGCGATGCAGCAGGACCGCCGTGCGCCCTGGGCCGTCCCCCGGGAAGGGAGGGTGGCTGTCACAGGCTCCCCCAGCACGGCGGCTCCTCCCTGCCGCAGGAGCCGGGACGCCGCGAGGAGCGAGCCCCGGCCCCGGCACAGCCCCCGACCCGAGCGCACCCGGGAGCCCTGCCCCGCTCCGCAGCCCCCCGGAAGGGCAGCCGGGCCCTCCGCGTGCCGAGCAGCGGCTCCCGCGGCCGGGAGCCCGAGCCGGCAGCGGCGAACGACACGTCCAGAGCGCCGGTGCCTCCGCGGCCGCGGCACGGGCTCCTCGTAGGGGGAAAACCAGCGCCGGGATAAGTTGCGGCGCGGGGGACAGAGGGAAGGAGAGCGGCCCCGCCGCCCGCACCGCCCCCGCTCCCGGCGCAGCCGGACAGCGGGGCCCAGCGGGGGCCAAGGTCAGGCGGGGCCCGGCCCGCGGCACTCACCGAGAGGACGCTCATGCGGAGCGGCGCCTCCAGCACGCACGCCATCTTGGCGGAGCGCTCCGGCACCGGCGGCGCCTCAGGCCGGCGGGCGCGGGCTCATGGCGGGCGCGCGGCGGGCGGGGGCCGGGGGTAGCGGGGCGGGCCCAGCGAACCGGCCGGCGCCGAACCCCCGCTGCCGCCCCACCGCGCCTGCGCCGCCGCGCGCCGCCCGCGTGCGGAACGGCGCCCGCCGTGCGCACGCGCGGGGCAGGGCGCGGCCTTCCCGGGACGCGGAGAGTGACGGCCCGAGCCGAGCGGAGCCGAGCGGAGCCGAGCCCAGCCCGAGCAGACCCGAACCGAAACGAGCCCCAGCCCGCCCTTTCCTCCAAGCCTCAGATGCGGTTTGGGTTCCTTTAGTTTGTCACTGCTTTTGTTACCCAGCATTGATTTGTTTGGTTTTGCATTTTTCACAGAAAACATCCCGAACAACCCAGGAGTTCACTAAGATGTGCTACAGGGTCTGTAAGATCTGCTATTTTTTTATTAGCCTCACTGTAATACACAGCCTGAGGCATGGGCACACTGACTCTACCCACCCTGAAGTCAGAACTAAATGGGAGGATGGTAAAGCTAGAAAAAGATAGCACAAACATCACAGCTCGAGTTCATACCTCTCAACCTATGCCCTACCCAGGAAAACAGGCGTTTGGCAGCTGCTAGAGACTGCACAGGATAACGGGAGTACAGTAAACATACCTTAGGATGCAGTCACGAGGTGACTTTAATAGGTTTAATTTAAAAATACTCCATTATGAAATAAGGCTATACCTCTTTGCTGTTTTTCTCTGAGCAGACTGATTACATGCTGTGAAAAAAACCTTTGTGCTGGCTTGGGATGAAACAGGCGAACACTTTTCTCAAGCATTAATAACAGCAAAACCAGTTTCAGACTAAGTACACTCAATGAAAACACTGCAATACAAGGGTTGTACAGAGAAACGTTTTCTAGAGGTTTCACATCAAAATATCAGAAGTTTTCAGAGAGACTAAATCTTTTTAAAGAAGACTGGAGACTCTGGGTCTTAAAAGCCAATTTAAACTTGTCAGCATTCCCTAGTTTTCCTTTTTGAAGTATCTGGCCTTTACTGGAGAAGCTCAGCACTTCTAGTGAATCCTCCATGCAGCAGAGAATCCTGCCAACATGGAAAATCCATAATGGATGAAAGCAAGGTAGGGGAGGACACTTTTGCAAAATGCAAAGAGGGTGTAAACAGCTGCAGGAAAGGGCACAGCAACTCCAGAGGTCAGACATGATTCACACTGAAAAAACATTTATGTTCACTGTGTTTACCAGCTGCAATCTGCTCAATGGATGCTGAAATACTTTATTAAAAAATCTTTAAAGGTTCAAAAATCAGTATTGTGTCTTGCCTAAGTCTCCTGCCTTCTAGAAACACATTTATCAGAAGAGGCGTGGGGAGGCATGGGACAACATAGGACTGAAATTTATTTTAAAAACAAAAGGAATCAGACTGAAAAGTCTGTTACATGCAAGATACATCCTCTATTCCTGCGCAGGGACCCTGAGAACTCAATGCCATGCTTAGGTTCCTTGGGAGGCTTTTCAAATCCGTAACAGAATTTATATTTAAAATGCTTTATTTCCATTATAGTGTTCAAATCATGAGGCATAACTAAGATTTTACCACTGCAGACCCAGGACCCTTAAAGAAATTCGTCTGCTTCAATAACTTACCTGACAGTTCACTGCTATTTAAAATACCCTAACTGTTACACCCGGGTTACTCCCAGTTTCTCCTCATACCTCAGCACAGCTCTTTGGTGGCTGTTCTGACAGATGAGCTGTTAATTCAACTGTTGAGAGCATTAATTACGCCCTTTCCTAGCCCTTGAATACTTAACTTAGTTTTTGTTGTGAACTGCTTGACAGAAGAGGAAGCAAGATGAACCCCAGATCATGGAAACGATTTAAAGACACAATTCCTGACCCTGATATACAATTCACACTCATATGCATTTCACTCACTGCTCCCTGTCCAGTTCCCTGTTCCTGTCAGGATGATTTCTTCTTCTCAGTTCCTGTGCCTTGGAGGAGGAAAAGGACAGGAGCTACTTCTGCTCTTGGGGCAGCACAGCCGTAAGCAATTCCATCTAAGAATTCCATCTGTCAGGAAGGCTAATGAGTCTAATGGCATATGCTTGAAAACATTGCCATTTTCATTAATTAACTCAGTTTTATCCCCATCGCCTCTTAGGCCAAAGAAGTGCCATTTACTAATAATTCAGGGAAAAAAAAAAAAAAAAAAAAAAAAGAGGGTGTCTATTCTGGCAGCTCCTGTTCTCCCTCAGCTGAAGATTACAAAGGTGCTTTGGAAGATTCCAAATCCAGTTTTAAGAGTTCAGCAAGTTACAGCTACTGAAATGACAAGAGAAAAGTGACCCTAATGATAATGGGAGGCGTTACTGTATCAGACAACTTATACTCCCACCACCTTGTATGAACACAAAACACAGCCCTAATTAGTCAGTTGAGACAATGGTGGTGTCCACATTTAGGAAGCTGTCCTTCCTAACTACTTCCGTTTTAAGACATTGTTCTCAAATTTTAAGAAAGAGAACGAAAATGAGTTTTAAGAACAGAGATGCACCCTTCCATGGTCCCCATAAAACCGTAATTCTCCAAATCAAGACTTGGTTTGCTATCAAAACTGTAATTAAAAGCCAATCCTGGACAAGACATATTGTTTTGTTTATGACTAAGGATTTTTTCTGTGGCATTACTATTACCAGAAACAAAAATCTTCATTCTTCTATTGCTGTTTTGTTATCATGGGAATTCTATTTTCAAATTTCATTCATAGGGTTATTGCGTATACTACTTTGTATTAATAGTTCAGTATAAAACAAGATAAAAGCAATAAAATAAAATCATTCAGTCTTGTAAATCAGACATCCTCTCGCTTGGACTGAAACTATAGTTTAAGAGTTCATGTTAAACAAGCATGGTGAGTCTAGTTCAGCCGAAGATACGGAGTATGCACCATACACCAAGAACTGAAGCAAAATCAAGGATATATGAGCTTTACATCCTTTGCGAAAGTACTTTGTTGGAAAAGTCTCAGCTTCTTTCTATGATGTCTATTCTGTGTAAATCACCTTCCCTGTGAGAAGTACATCCAGCCTCTGAATTTAGGAAAGTAACATGACTAAGATCACGTGACATTAAAAGCACGCGTAGTCCAGTACAATTCTCACCACCTTTCCACAGAAAGGCTGGGAGAGAATTTAGTTACACACCCTCTGAAGTACTAATCTGTTTTATCTTCATCCTCTGCAGCATAGATAGCTTGGTTCCTTCTCTTGATTTTTTTAACACCACTGTTCCCGTTCTCATCACCACCAATGCGCTTTAACGACCTCTCAGTGGAGCTCTTTTCCTCCCCCTGCTTGCTCCCACCAGACTTCTCCAGTTCCTCGTTGTTGGAGTCCATGGCATCGTCAGACGACACCACCATGGAGTCTGGCATGATCCGGATGTCAGAGAAGCTTGTAGAGAACTCAGGAGGGTGATCAGGGGAGGGATCTACAGAACATGTACTCAAGTCTTCATCGCCACCTTCTTCATCCAGCATTATTTCATCTGGATTAAAGGATGAGAGGCCAGAATTATCTGTATTGTATTCACTGGGTTCCTCTGCTGACCCAGTACTGTCCATCTCCTCTTCCTCCTCCTCTTCACATTCACCTCGTCCTGAGCTCTCTTCTTTAGCCTGCTGGATCCTGTCATTGATGTCAGTGAGGCCAAACTGGGCACAGAACTCAGTAGTCTGTGGATTGATGGTATGAACTGGCTCCATGTTTTTTTGGGGCTTGCTGGGATCGTAGCAAGCAGCTGTCAATGTGAAGTTGCAAGGAATTTTGAGGTCATGGTTCAGCTCTTCTAGCACCTCTTTAATGGCTTCTTCTGTCACACTGTAATCCCACCTAAACAAGTGCATAAAGTTTAAACAAGTGTAGCAAGTCAAAAGGTACTGCTTGTTCCCACCACACAGTGCAACCTTCAAAGATGGATTATAAAATCTTTTACAACAGACACTTTATTCTGCAAGTGCTTTTCCAGGAAGGTTTTCATTCTCTTTTGGTCAGTACTGAGACGCCCTTCTCCCCACCAAGGATTAGTGTATTATGTTAACCCATGTCCATAAACCAGCCTGATTTTCAGCCTCATGGTATAGTTTTATCCTTCAAATGCTGGTTATCTAAGTTTGCAAAACAAAACTAACTTCCCAGGTCGAAGAGTAAAAAAGTTGTATGCTTTAGACTACATCTTTTATCAACATCCCCTTTTCTTTCCAAGGCATTTAGCAAGTCCTGCAGGCATTACAGGCTGCAGAACAGAAACACAAGTCCCATATAACTTTACTTCCAGTCCAGAAAAAACAATCAAACCACACTTTCATCTCTGTTTTGCAGACAACTTACTTGGCATGGAGACCATTGTTTTCAGGCATATTCCAGGAGCTCTGGGTCACATTAACAAGACTGTTGGTGGCCTTGAGGATTGCAATCCACTCGGCATCATACTCCAGCGAGTCGCCTGCATTGGGATCATGCTCCACATCTATTATCTACTTACAAACACACAGAAAACAGATGAAGTGAGTTATTTCTCTTGACACCAGAATCTGATTAAAGTTTCACTGTAAAGAGTTTTAATGAAGTTTAAAGTACATTGAACTAGTGGTATCAACCAAACAAATCCTTTCAAGCCAGCCCCTCATGAAGGGCTAACAAAGGACAATAACAGTAAAAAAGGCATTTCTAAATTTCAGCTTAGAGCAATTAAAAAGCAGAACACACTCTCTCCCTTACTGCCAGCAACTGGACAATGATGGAACTTAGAATTTGCCTGCTTCTAAATTCATGCTGCCTTCTGTTGGAGGGCAGGATTTTTTTCTTTTTTTTTTTTCAGTTTATCATCAGGAATTTTTCTCCCATTTGTTACCTAAGAGATCAGAACAACAGATACTTAAGAGAAAAAAGATGTGGCCAAGACAAGGGAGGGTATGTAGTTTGCTACATCTCTTAGGTGGGGGGGTTTCTCTTGGGAAAGGCAGAGATACTGCCAGTTTTTGGCTGGGGGTGAGGAGCTGGGGTCGGCCCTTGCTCACTCTCAGGATCAGAGGTGAGACAGTTGTGGTCTTGGTGCCAGGCTGCTGCTACAGGGAGAATTTGCTGCCACTGTGGAGCTCTGTCCTTCACTGCTTCTCCTTACTATGTGTGAGCTCAGCAGAGTGGCCATGGGACTGGGACCTTGTAAACGCCCAATCTCCCTGGGAAGGACTCCCACAATCTACTTGGGGCCTCAGGGAAAAACTCCTCCTCACTCCAAGAGAGCATCTCCCAGCTGCTTTCAGGAGCCCGGCTGCCACTGCACAGCCCTGACCATTTTCTGCCACTGCATTTGAAAAACACGCTGTCAGCAGCCCACTCTCACAATAATTTATTTTAGACTCATCCATTGGAGTCAGGTACTTGTTCTAAGCTGGATGGAAATGGTAGGATTAAGGAAACACTGCACCTACACAACATGGTCTGCCTAGTTCAGGACAAAATCCTACAAAGACTATTCCATACACCCAGCATTCCTAGTTTCTTTAAAATTCCTCCACTTATCATCACTATTCTTCATCTTATACCTAAGAATAGCACTAGCAGTTCAAACAAATGAAATTCTTAAAGTGAAAACCTTCTACAAATGTTCATCACCTGCAGGAAGTCTCTGTGTGGCAAGCACTTATCCAGAGCCAGAAACTTGGTTGCTTTTGGTAACTCTTCTTTGGAGTTTGTCTAGGAAGCAAATGGTTGTTAACACAATCATTAACACTTATGTGAAATTTGACCATTCTAAACAAGCTGTATAGACAGGTTTAAAGGGTTAATTTCTACAGAAAAATACTTTTTGAAATAGAAAATTAGCAGGGACAAAGAGAATGACAGACTTCACTGGGAGTCTAACAGGAAGCAGGATGCAGATATTAGCAAGATAAAGCAAGAGCTACATTTCAGCACTAACCAAGGCAGCTGAGCACATACAGCCTTGGAAAAGAAAAATTGAAATTTAATTGGAAACAGACTTGTCGAGTCTACAAGGTCTAGACTTACATTTTTATAGATAAATAACTTGCAAATAGGACTGGCACCACTTCAGAAATAACTGTTTCAGCTACAGACTGGTTTTTGGCTTAAACCTGGGCTACCAGACCTGCAAAACTGTACTACAGGGATCTTCCCACTGTCAGCTAACCATCCTCTTCAGTCACTCCCTTATCACCTTTTTTGAAGTTGCCTTCTTTTTCTCAGCTATTGTGAAGTTACCTACTTCCCCAACAGAGCAGAAGAGTGCTTTTCTATACAGTTAAATTAACGAATTTCAAGAACAATAGCTATTTCATGCTGTTCCTGAAGAAGATTAGGGATTTACACCCTTCATTTATAACATCTCTTTAGTTTACATAAAACAGTAATCCTAACACCACTTAATCTTTCATGGTTTTAACTGACCTTTAAGAACAAAAACCACTAAATTGCGTTTCTGGACATGATTACCTGAATGAGAATTCTAAAGTGTGCTTGGGACACAAACATTCATTTTCTGTCTCCCTTTACCTCGTGTTGCATGAAAGCTGCAAATTTAACGTGGAGATGTGCTGAGAACCAGTAGGTGGGTTTCAGGTGCTGCAGAAGCTCTGAAGCAGCAGGGCTTCCCAAAGTGTTGCTCTCCACTTCTTGACGGAAGAAGGATTTCATTTTGAGGAGTTGTTTCTTGTTTCCATAGTGATAGATGCTCCTTGGCCAGTCATGTGACATAAATATATCGATGGGACGTTTTAGCTGTCAGGCCAAAAAGCACATGGCATAAATACAACATATTTACAAAGGGGTTTGGAGATTACTTGAGGCAGCCAGCTGTGCTTTATACGGCCTTATAAAAGAGTTCATATCATCACCATAAGTCAGGCACTCAAAGGAAATCATAGATAGAGAGCAAGTCCTCTGCCCACAGTCAAAGGTATCTTCTTCCCCAGGAAACTTTTAAAAGCTTTATTTAAAAGGGATAATGGCTCCGCACAATATTCCTCCTCAAAGGACACACCCCTCAGATGTTCTGATCAACCTGTTAAAGCATGTTCAATATTCAGCATATGTGATCAGAGTAGCTTTAACTTCCTATTTCCAAATTAATGAAAATTACCCTTGTTTATAGAATGGGCTTTTCACTGACCTGTTTGAGTTTGAAGACTTCAATATTCCTCACGTGGTAAGCACTTCTGATGGTCTGCTGGTTGTATGGTGGGCACTCAAAGTGGCCTGAAATGTTGGAAACAAGAATAGTTGCCTGAATCACTAGTTTCCTCTGACACAGCAGCTTTTTTGGGTCACACAGGCACCTAGAGTAACCCCAAATACAAGACTGTGATTTTTCATGATTGTTCAGAACGCTGCCACCCACCATGAAACTACAGCTTAACAGGTTCAGCAGCAGCCTAAACATCCCAGTCACTGTCCAGAGGCACCACAGGCTCCGGAAGCACCAACGTGTATCCTGACAAAGGGATGAGTTTCCAACTTTGCCTTAGGCCAAAACACATGAATGCCTAGCATAGCTCCTACATACTCTACAGAATTGACAGAAAAATTGCTGTTTTAGTTATTGCCTAAAGAATCTCATCTCCCTCATGCAATATTTAGGCATATAAAGTGCCCCCTTGATAACAGCAAATTGAATTAGCATTGGCAAGCATTACACAGAACCAAGTGTTCTAGAAAACTGATTCAGTACTTTGTAAAGCTTCTCTGAAGTTATTTGTTAGTAAAGACAGCACAGTACAGTAACCACAGAGACCACTCTTTCAAATGCTGAGATCAGAAAGAATAAACTATCTTCTACTCACTGACATGGGGTATCATCTGTGACACCCTTCCCAGGAAGAACTCTTGAATACACACCCACATAACCAGGAGGAACAAGATGTACTGGCCCTAAACTTCAGGGCAGGACAATACACTTATATAGTGTCACAGTTATAAACTGACTGTTTCACTCAACGAAAATCAGTGTTGCACTGCACGCTGAAAGGACACTGCCATGGAAAAATATACGCTGTACCACAACACGCCAAAGGCGCCTTGCTTCCTGCTGAGGTTGCCGGGCAGCTACAGACTCATCTACCAACTCCAGAAAAATCCGTGTATTGAACCAAGGGCCGTTTCCACGCTAAGAGACGTTTCGGGGCTGAGCACAGCCAGACCCTCACACCAGGCTGCGGCCCCGGCTCCCCCCTCTCGGCTGCCCGCCCCGCCGGTCCCGCTGCCCCGGTACCTTTCCGGTAGTCGTGAGACTTGAAGATGCCCGAGATGCCGCCGATCCTCACGCCGCGGAACCGCACCACGCCCGCGTAACCTGCGGGACACGGGAGGGCGGTCACGGAGGGGCCGGGCAGGGCAGGGGCTGTGGGGGAAATCGCCGGGGGACCGGGACTGGAGCGGAGGGACCTTACCCAAGTAGTAGATGTTGGGCGCGACCCACCCGCCGTAAGGCAGCTCCTGCAGGTGGTTGGAAGCCTCGTGGTTGCCGCCGATGAACACGGTGAGCACCGGGGCTTTCTTCTCGCCCGAGTAGTACCTGCGGAGACACGGCAGCTGCTGGACCCGGCCAAGCCCGCGTGGGTCGGGTCGGGGGCCGGGGCCGGGCCGGCGGCGCTCACCGGTAAAAGGTCTGCATGTGCCGGTACTTGGCCGGTACGGCCATGCACCGCAGGTCCGCCTCGTTGCGCACGGCCTGGAAGTCCCCGCAGCAGAGCAGCAGGTCGGGCCGCACGTTGTGGCGGCGCTGAAGCAGCTCCAGCGTCTCGTACATCTTGTCCAGGGCGCCGTGGCAGCACCCGGCCACCGCCACCTTCATCGCCACCGCTGCACTGAGCGGCCGCCGCGCGCGCCTTTCGCGTCACCGCCGCGCGCGCCTTTCGCGTCACCGCCGCGCGCGCCTTTCGCGTCACCGCCGCGCGCGCCCTGCGTCACCTCCCGCGCTCCTCTGCCGCGCCTGCGCCGTGAGGGAGACGCGGCCCGGGGATCACGGGCCGCGGGGACACCGCGGGCGGGGAAGCTGGGCCTGTCCCTTCATCGCCGCTGCCCACGGGCTGCCGAGAGCCCTGCCCGCGGGACCCTGCCCCCTGACCTCCGGTGGTCCCCTCCCGCCCTACCCGAGCAGGGAGCTCGGACCCGGTGACATCGGATGGTGCTTCCAGCCTTGCCTGTTCTTTACAGAAAGGGTGGCCAGGCATTGGAATGGGCTGCCCGGGGAGACGGTGGAGTCACCGTCCCTGGAGGTGTTCTGGAGCGAGTCCAGAGCAGAAAACGGAGCTGGGAAACGGTCACCAGTCTGAGAGGAGGAGCTGGGGGGGCTCAACCTGTAGAAAAGGAGGCTCAGGGGGACCCTTCTTGCTCTCCACAACTCCCTGTTGACAGGACGGTGCAGCCAGGGGGAGGTCGGGCTCTGGTCCCAGGGAACAGGGACAGGACAGGAGGACATGGCCTCAAGCTGCACCAGGAGAGGTTTAGGTTGGACGTCAGGAGGAATTCCTTCATGTAAACGGTGATTAGACACTGGAAAATGTTGGAAAATGGGCTGCCGAAGGAGGCGGTGAAGTCCCCATCCCTGGAGGTGTTTACGGAAAGACTTCACGTAGCACTCAGTGCCCTGGTCTGCTTGTAAAGTCGGGGATCGCCACAGGTTGAGCTCGATGATCTTAGGACGTCTTTTCCAGCCTTAGTGACTGACTTCATGATTCTGTAGCTGGCCAGTGGGACCTTCACTGTGGGCAGTAACAATGGCACAGCGATGAACACCACGGTCTGTAATAACTATCAGAAAGGCTCATCACACGCAGAGAATGGGGTTGTACAACGGGGCAGGAGCCCCTGCGGGGGTACCCGGGCTGCACGGGGAAGGTTGCACTGGGAGGGCTGCACAGGGAAGGCTGCACCGGGAAGGCTGCACAGGGAAGGCTGCACTCGGAGGGCTGTCCGGCTCCCCCGGCACCACAGCACCCGCCGAGCACTGCCCGCACCTCCTCGGCCAGCCCAGTGGGGAGCAGCACAAGCTGTACTTATCCCTCACGCGTGGCTCACAGACCACAAAGTGATGGAGCAGCACGAGCAGTGTCTGTGCACGCTTCCACCTGGCGTTTGAGCGGATAAAACACCGAGTCGGGACCAGTTCAGCCTCAGGCAGGTGTGCTTTTAGCATAGCCAAAGCTCTGGCTTCTGTGACTTTGTAGCACACAGGGGCAGGAAGAGTCAGTGACATCACCAGGGCAAGCGCTTGTGAGGCGGGATGAGAAATCGCGGGGCTCTCCCCTTTTCCTCGCGGACTGACAGGCTCTTCTTTGGAAAGCACTGATTTCCTGCTTTGGAAGGACAGTGCATTGGATTGTAGGGTGGCTTTGCATTGTCACGTAGTAAAACTGCTCCAGACTTTTTCCACTTCAAGACTGGTTTGAAGGGTTTTTTTAAGTCTTTGAACCAAATTGCAAGGACATAGTTAAGCATTAACTTCCTACTACTTCCCCCTGTAATCATGGAACCAAGTAGACATTCCTGTTCCCCCGTGGTAGCAAGAATTACATAATGGCCTCTCTTTTGATACTAAGAAAATATGAGTGTTGTCTCCTACATTTCATAATTTCACAGTGTTACATTACTCTGTGTACTCTGGGGCTCGTCCAAACCTAGCTGAAGTGAAGGGGAAAATTCCTCTGGCTTCCAAACCCCACAAGTCTCCAAGGGGAAAGCACACATGGGAGTGCTTCGGGTGCACTTGGCTCTTTCACTAACTTTGCTTAGACCTACCTGGAGTAGTGCGAGAACTCATCAGTCCAGCACCTCTCCTGGAAAAGCTTTTCAACCCTCTGTGGGAGAACAACAACCTCTTGTGTTTGCCATCTCTCAGAGTTCCTGAAAGGAAGGGGGTGAGAGACGGGAAAGGTCCATGAATCTCTGGAAGATACCACCTTAACCAGAGTACACCATCTCAAGGGGCTTCCTGAGATACCTGCCTACCCAAATTCATCCCCAGACAGGCAAGGTAAACTGATACTCTAATTGTATTTCCTGAGTGTGTTGGCTCGGGCTCATGTCTTATACTCCATGTGCCACTAATCCCAAGTGAACTGGTGCACAATAGAGTCTATAAAGTTGGGCTTCTTTTATGTCATAGTATTTTCTGTCACAGTATTTTAGTATTTTAGTACTTGTACAGTACTCATGATGCATCTCAATATCTGTAATTAAACTCAGTGTTTACTGAGCAAAACTGTTCTGACCTTTCCAGAGCACAAAGGGGATCAGCCATGCTGCTGTTTACAGGGTAAGTGGCAGCAAGTTAATGCTTAACTATGTTATTGTAATTTTGTTCAGTCCTTCAAGACTGTTTGAAAACCCATGTGACTGAAGCACAGTTCTCTTCCATCGCATGGATGAAGCATGCTTGGCCTTGGACTGGGTTTTGCAGTCATAGTCTCTTGCCCCAGTTGTGTCTCCAGCATGTGTCTCATGCCTGAATGTTCAGTCCTGCAGCAGAGGACCAAGTGTACATCCTGTCCTGCATGAATGGCCAGGGAACTGTGAGGCCAAGGAGGGAAAAGTCCCAACAAGCAAGCTCAGGTCAGTAGATTGTTTGAGTTGCCCTTTTGGATCTTGCCTGCCTGCATTGAGCAGTAAATAATTTTTTTTTTCCTGAGCTGACTGTGGTAGCTTAGTATCATGAAAGTAGTTTTTCTCTGTAGAGAAATTAAGAATAAAAGGCATCTGAAGGGGCTGTAGATGATGAGTTGCTTCCCTAATCTCTGAGAATGGAATGAGAAGAACTTTTGAAGACTTTTCTGTCAAGTGCTTCCTAGTGTTTTTAGAGTATACTAATAGGTTTCTAGCATGATTTACATATTACTAAAATGAAGAGGAACAGCAAAAGGGAGACATCTGTCTGACTTTTGAGGAGGGACAGCATGGCTGAGAAGGGAGGTACAGGAGAAATGCTGGGAGACAGTGTTTGTGAAGGAGAGGGAGATACACTGGTGTGCAAAAGACAAATCTGATGTGTTCCAGCTGAGATTTGGAGCTGCCCCTATAAGCTGTGAGAGCATGTGAGATGGCAGGTCGGCTTGTGTGTGCAGCTGAAGGGAGGGGCTGCTGCAACCAGACAAGACTAAAGCTCCCTTAGGTAAAGGCCCCACGGCTGGCCTGAATATCACATGGCTTACCTGCAGCTGTGTACAGGTGTCTTTGGGCATCTCCTCCCCTAGATCATGTCTGATGATTGCAACATGATCTGCAGTGCAGCAACACAGCTGCCATTGCAGGGCCTGTTCTGGGCTGTGGCGCTGCAGCTGCCTCCCTGTTCCAGCTGCACCAACACAGCTCTTTCCCTCTTAATTTGTACCTTTTGCCAGAGGACACTGCTTTGCTGGGGGGCACTACTGATAACCTCCAGCCAATGAGGGCTGGAAGCTGTCTGGAGGAAGAGATGGAGGAACCCTCAGTAAATTTGCAGATGCCACCAGGCTGGTTGGGAGTGTTGATCTGCTCAAGGGCAGGACGGCTCTGCAGAGAGACCTGGACAGACTCGATCAAAGGGTTGAGGACAGCAACATGAGGTTCAGTAAGTGCCACATCCTGCACTTTGGTCATGACAACCTCCTGCAGCTGCAGCCTGGGGCAGGGGTGGGTGGAGAGCTGCTCAGAAGAGGGGGACTCTTGGGGGCTTGTCGACAGCAACTGGATATGAGCCAGCAGTGTAGCCAAGAAGGCCAGTGGCATCCTGGCCTGTATCAAGGGCATTGTAACCAGTAGGACCAAGGAAGTCATTCCTCCCCTGTACTCAGCATTGGGGATGCTGCACTGCATTCAGTTTAGGGCCCTTCAGCTCTAAAAGGACATTGAGGGGCTGTAGCATATCCAGAGAAGGGCAACAAGGCTTGGGAAGGATCTAGAAAACATGCTCCATGAGGAACACCTGAGGGAGCTGCGTTTATTTATCTTTGAGAAGGCTCAGGGGAGACCTCCTCGCTGTGTACAACTCCTTGACAGGAGGCTGTAGTGAGGTGGGGCCAGTCTCTGCCGTGCGGGAGGAAATGGCCCCAAGGCAAGACAGGGGAGATTCAGATTAGCTATTAGAAAAAAAATTCACTGTTTGAGCGGCCAGGCATTGGAATAGGTTGCCAGGTAGGTGATGGAGTGCGTGGAGGTGTACAGGAGGCGTCTGGGTCTGGGTCTGGCGCTGGCTGATGTGGTTTAGTGGTTACAGTGGCAGTGCTGTCCACATGGTCGGACTGGATGATCTTGGAGGTCTCTTCCAACCTTGACGATTCCGTGATTCTATGAGGGCGTTGGTGCCGCTCCTGAGGGAAAAACAAAACCCGCCGCCCGGAGCCGGGAGAGCCGCAGGCGGGGCCGAGGGGCGGCCCGGGGGCGCTCCGAGGCGGGGCCGGGGGCGCTCCGAGGCGGGCCCGGGGGGCGGCCCGGGGGCGCTCCGAGGCGGGGCCGGGGGCGCTCCGAGGCGGGTCCGGGGGCGCTCCGAGGCGGGGCCGTCCCGCCCCCGGCGCTGGGCGGGCCCGGCCGTGCGGAAGGGGCGGCCGGGGCGGGCGGCGGAGCGCGCCCGGCGGCGGGAGCGGCGCCGGCCATGGGACGGGACGGGGCGCTGCCCCGGCGGGTACGTGCGGGGAGCGGCGGGGCCCGGGCCGGGGCTCGCCCTGTCTGGGGCGGTGGGTCGGTCCCGCGGGGCCCGGGGCTGTGTCTGCGGGTGAGGAGGCGGCGCGGGGGTCCCGGTGCGGGCGCTGGCGCGGGTCTGGCGGGGTGTGCCGAGGGCGGTGGGGGCCGGCAGTGCCGGCATCCGCGGGAGGCGATGCTCGCCCCGCACGGTTGGAGCACCGGGGCTCCGTGGTGTCCCGCTCGGGGCCGTGAGCTGTCCCCTGGG